TACATCCGTTCTATTCCGTTTGTCATTGTCTAACGCCAGTCCTTGATTTAATTATCAGAGTGACCAAAAGCTTGGTCCCACATCCAGGTCTTTAGGTTTTTCCTAAATGCTAGGAGGGAAGTCGCCGATCTAATCTCCCCGGGGAGTGCGTTCCACAGGCGGGGGGCCGCCACTGAGAAGGCCCTGCTCCTCGTCCCCGCCAGCCTCACTTGTGATATAGTGCATACATGGACTGCCTATCCTTTAGATATGGGTGTCTAGATCAGCAGCTATTGCAGTTAGAGACCTCAAATTTTGGGAAACTGAGTTTAACACCTGACTAAAATCTGAATAAAACAGCATATTCAACATATAACAGCATGTTCAAACTTATCTGAAATGTGCCTTTAACCTGCCTGAAACAATGCCTTTAACCTGCCTGATGGTGGGAACTTTTAAAAAAATTTAGACCACTTGGCATGGAATGACCCAATAGCCTGTTCAGATTATTATTGCCCTATAAATCTGTACCCGATACTAGGAAAAATCTCTTTACAAAATCTCCTTACTACTTTGAAGGATGAAACAGAAAACCAAATACATTATCTGTACAATATAGCTATATCATTTTTAAAACAATTTAACTGGCATGGTTCCACCCAGGGCTGTGGGGGTGGGGGGTGGGGGCTAGAGGTTAAAAACTACTGAGGCTTGGCATAAGACAAAAGCAGAGCCCTAAAAGACACTGCCATGACATTCACCATAATGAATTTAAGTACCTTAATTGGTAATTGTGTGTGTAGTTTAAATAAACTTAATAAAATACTGTTAAAAACTACTGAAGTAACATTTATAGTGGGATTTATCAAATGAAGATCTTAAACCTGATTATTTCTTTCCCTCACTTACATGAACTGATTTCTGGAAATTGTAATTTCAGTAATCTGGGAACTCCATACATTTAATTCAGCAAATCGCTTCTTTACCAGGAAAACAATTTAGAAGAGGTGGAGCAGACTTCAATAAAACATTTTATGTGCCAAAAAAGTCCAGAGGAAATGTTTCATGCTATTGGAATAGTAATTGCAACCAGCCATAAGATTTTTTTTCTGGTTCACATACTGTTTCTTTCACACAGGTACAAAAAAGCCTGGGGTCTTAAATATAATACATATTTAGTTGCCAAATAATTACATTTGTCAGATTTTCTATATTGGTATATGTTCTTGATATATTACAGCAATTTTAAATGCAGTAATGAAATAGCAATCTATCAGTCCAACAATAAAAGTGGGAAGTATTAGAGCCAAATTCAGTGACCATTAGCATCTAATATTAAATACTTTGCATATGTTTGACTGCTTGAAAATATACAATTAAAAACAACTTAAATCGTACTTCTAAGTGAAGCAAAATAGGCACTTGATATTGTTTACAGTAAACATTTTCTAAATTTAAGAATGGGAATGGTAGCTGTTCCCAAAAGAGTCCATTCTAAAAGAGTCCATTGTGTAAGTGTATGTAATTTAAGCACAGTCTTGACAAATATTACCATATGTGTAACACAGAAGTAACACTATCTACAAGAACTTAATAGCAGCACATGGCAAATTTCTTGAAATTGGCTGGAATGTTCAAACAGTCTGAAATATGAAGGGTTGCGAGGAAAACCCTTTAATACTGAAACTAAAGGCTACACCTAGTTTGCAAAAACAGAGACAGAGCAGTGCTAGTCTGTTCAATATAAAAAGGAGAATATAGATGGAAAGGAGATTATTTGGCATGATTAAGACTAAGAAATTTATTTTATTATCTTATAAGAATACATTTTATTTATTTATTTATTATTTGCACTTATTGACCGCCACTCTCAGCCCTAGGGCGACATCATCTGACTTTGGTGTGATGAGGTCCTTAAGTGGTCACAGCATATTCTTGGACTTATCTGAAATATGCCTTTAACCTGCCTGAAAAAATTGAGATTCTTGGCAGCAATGTATAATGCTTGTCGTCCCCCCCCCCCAAATAATAGATTTTTGTAACCCAACAAATTCTAAGTTGTTTGTTAGATAAATAATTGATTTTAATGCATACCCTTTGTCCTAGGGCCCTTGCAGACAGGCCCTATACCCCAGGATCCGATCCCAGGTTTTCAGCTTTAAACTGGATTATATCAGTCTGATAATCTGGGATAAAAAGCCAGATAATCTGGGATAAACAGAAAAACTGAGATTACATCCTGGAGTATAGGGCCTGTCTAAAAGAGCCCCTGGTTTGTCAGAGACAATCCCAGTGAAAACTCTGTTCTCCCAGGGCCCTTCCACACAGCCCTATATCCCAGAATATAAAGGCAGAAAATCTCACGTGCTTTGAACCGGGTTATCTGGGGACTCATCCAGACAGCCCCTTTTTTGCAGAAACTTCCGCAATAAAAAGGGGGCTGTCCAGATGATGTTCTAGCCAACCAGTAATTAAAACAGGAAAACCCTGTTTTGTGACTAATTAATTAGATAGTGGATTTATTCCGCGTCTTCTTGGAAGGCCTTGGGATAAACCCACTACTTCTGGTGTCTGGACTGCAGTCCATACACCTTTCCTACAGTTTTCCAGACTAAATTAGTCCAGAAAACTGTGGGAATCCCACCCCTCCTCCCCCACAGCTCCCAACCCCCTTTTAAAAGTAAGGAAAACTTACCTGGCCTCTATTATAGTCTTGCCAGAGTTCTCCTGGCACATAGAAATGATGTGCCAGGAGAGCAGGTTGGAGGTGGGGAACGGATTTCCTCCCCCCCCCCCCCACTCCTGGCGTGTCATTTCTACATGCTGGAAGCGTTCCAGGAAGACTGTAATGGATAAGTTTTCCTTACTTTTAAAAGGGGGTTGGGAGCTGTGGGGAAGGGTCTGCAGATGTTTTGCCGGGCTACTTCCGGCAGAACATCTGGACACCTACCCCAGAAAGTGCGTGCTTTCTGAGGTGGGTGTAGACAGGCCCCCAGGAAAATCCATGTTTTTTTAAACGTGGATGCTCCTGGGATAAAGGGCTGTCTGGAAGCGCCCTGAGTCGACACTCAGATAACATGGGATTTCCTTCCTTGATATTCTGGGATATAGGGCTGTGTGGAAGGGCCCTTACTTTTCCAACTGCTTAAAAATGTCAAATTTCTTTCTCTTCCTTTCCCCTTGGCTTGCTTCTATTAGTGCAAACTGAGGGGAGTGTACAGAAGTAGTTTGCACTTGCTTAATTTAGCAGAAGAGAAGAAATTATAAGGTAGAATCTTGCCCTTCTTCGTAGACTCAGGCAAACATATTCTTTGTTAGTAACTTTTGCCATTTTAACCTCAGTATGTTATTAGGCTACATGTTTTCTTCTTTTCATCTGTGAAATGTTGGAGAGTACATAGCTGTAGGATTTGAAAAACCATTGTTATGGAAGGCAACAATAAAAAAGAAAGATTTTGTAGCATCTTAAATTTACACAACAAAACTATCACAATGTATTTCAGTCTCCAGTTTCACCACCCATCTGACACCATGTACCAAAAATACAAAGCCTACCCAAATTTCTCCACATCATAACTATCATGGCATGGCATCTTCTCAGATAATTTACATTTCTGTTTGGCAAAGTAAAATTAAGTAAGTCAAAATTAGATCAGCTTTTGTTAGATCCTAATTTTGACTTAGTAATTCTAATTTATGAACTGTAGTTTTCCAATTATAATGGAAAACAACAAAGTAAAATATTAGTATTGGCAGTATTAGTATACACAGTTGGGAATACACTTTCCCAGGAGAAGAAGAAAAACATTTGGTTTACAGATTTTTGAACTAATACTTCAGACAGAAGTGGTAACAGAAAACTAAAATGTTTTGTTCTATATTGGGAAAGTAGAAATTGGAAAAATGACAGTGTGCAGTAAAGCAGCCTAATTTGATGCATATTAGACAATGTCAGCACCACTATGTTCACCAAGGTGTATAGGGCTGTAACAGGACTCTGAAGAAAGCCCTGTTAGGTTCAGTAAGCATACTCCTTCATAAGCATGTTTAGGCATCCAGCCTTAGCTGTTTTAATTCACTAAATACAGCCTTATCCTTTTCAAAATGTTTCAAATTCCCACAAGACAGAAAAATAAAAATTCAGAAGCATGAGTAGCTTAGGAGAATAATTGTTCATTAATCTGTGAAAACAATCATGAGATAGTTAGACTTAAAAATGGATCCTGACATTTATGAACTAGAAATTGTTGCAAAACATTTGTATTTAGCAGCCAAAGCTTTGTTTCTTATTTTGACAGTCCGAATAATTCTAAAATTGAGAAAATCCTCTATTAAATGTACTATCTGCTTTTGGATGAGAGATCTAAGCTTTAAATCTTGTTAAGAATTGTCTGCTTTTGGAAATCTTTTTAAAAATGTATAAATATCTTTACCAGTTGCCAAACATCTATGGATGACTTAAAGAGTAGCTGTGTGCCTGTTTCTATCCTTGAAAGTGGAGTTGCTCAGCAGTATCTAGAAAACGAGGATCTCATTTTTAACTCAGTTAACCAAATTTGGAGAGACAATAAGGGTAAATACCTTCTCTAGCCACTTCAAACTGTAATCAGATAGGCCTGATCTTAAGAAATTCCATGAGTATTAATGAGACCAGCTCCTCCACTGAATGTTCTGAGGACTAGAGCCCAAATTTAATATCTTAAACCAGGCATTCTCCCAACTGTGGCCCTCCAGCTGTTTGGATCTCCAACTCCCAGGATTCCCGACCATTGAGCAAGCTGGCTAGGTCTTCTGGGAGCTGGAGGCCCAAATAGTTGGAGGGCTGGAGTTTGAGTATGCCTGTCTTAGAGATTAGGAGATCTGAATGCCTCCAGACTATGTAGATTGTTATAAGAATTGATAACATAATAAACTGCAAAAGGCTCTCATTTAACTCAGAAGAGCATTTTCACACCTACTACTAATATTTTGCGAAAAGTTTTATTTGTAGACAATTTGAAAACCAGTAACATTTTTTTAATTTGCTCTGAATCTTGAGAGGTCAGAGCAACAACACACTAGTTTAACTAAGAAAATTATCAACAATAAAAGTGGAGACACATACAAGACCGTATCACTTTACACTTTTAGAGACAGAGCATGAATATTCTGGAGGAGAAGTTCTGCACTAGGACGTTTGGCAACATCAGATTTCCAGCAACTTTCAATTAATATTTCAAGCTGTTGTCCAGTGGCTGAACCTTTAAACACAGCTGCAGTTAGTGAAGGGCGCAAATTACAAGCTACTACAGAGTAGAGTACATACTGGCGTTCACCCAAATAAGGTTCTTGCTGTGTAACCATTTGCCAGAGTGTGATAGCAAAAGAGTAAATGTCTGCCTTAGGAGTGACTCTCTCACCTTTAAGGAGTTCAGGAGCACGATGGGTGTATGTCCCACCTTGTTGAGAAAGTAGTGGACTTGATGATTCAAGATCCTGTAGTTTTTGGGAGCATCCAAAGTCTCCAAGTTTGCAAATATTTTGTTCAGTGATGAATACATTAGCAGGTTTTAAATCCAAATGCACAATCATTTGTGAATGTAGAAAGATGAGACCTGCTACAATGTCACAAGAATAGCCTAATGCCTCAGTTATGCTCAAAGATATATGGCCACATCCAAGCCCATCATCCTTACCCTTTTCTGTCTTGCAGTCAGTCCCATAGATAACGTGGTGTAGAGTACTGTTACCTACATATTCCATTATTATGGTACCCAAAGTGTCCTGATTAGCAGGGGCACATGTGCTAGCAGCTACAATCCGTACCACATTATTATGGTCAAGATGTGCTACATTTAATTCTGCCCAGAAACTCTGCCGTGATGCCAGACTGTTCTTACTGCTTTTCTTCACCTGCTTTACTGCCACTGTAGTTCCACGATAAATAGCCTTGTAGACTGAACCAAAGCCACCTGATCCCAGGGGGTGTAGCAAACACAACTGATCCCAGTCTATTGAACACCAAGCTAGACGAGTTGGTAGTCGGCGAATCCTGGGTGAAACACCTTCAACACAAAAAAACTTTTCACCTTTGGCTGGAAACACCAAGGGACTACTGCAGGGCCGTGCATTCACAGATGGAGAAAATTGTAGATGAAGAAGACGATTATGAGGAAGAGGAGATGGCATAATTATGGAGGAACAACCCTTGGCAAACAAAATAAGAAGCTTCTTTTTTTTAAAAAAGGATGCAGGACAATTAAGCAGTGTTTCATGAGTTTGCTCTGTTTTGCTCCCAAATTTCTTTCATAGAACCACTGCATCAAACTTACAGCCAACAAGCTCTGATTAGTTTCAGATGAGGATGATTTTAAGCACTACTGCCTACTAACTTTGGCCATTAAAGGGAACTGAGAGTTCAACCCTAATTCCCAAAACACTTATGGCATTGTCCTAAAAATGCTTAATTGGAAGTAAATTCCATTGACTTCTATAGGAATTATTCCTTCATAACTCTACTTTGGAAAAAGTTTTCTTATCACTTTGATATTAGATCTTTGTATATCTTTTCTTAGCTTCCTATAAATCTGAAAAAAGAAGCAGAAATGAAAGTGTGTCACTTCTTGTCCACCTTCTTTGTCATTAACAGTTGTAAAAAAGGCAGAAATTCAGCAATCAATGATCTCTTAATGCCAGAGAAAAGTGTAACTGTTGAATTTCAGTGTGTTGCGTATCATGTTAAGGACAACTTTTTTTCAGAAAAATATCATAAAGGGCAGACCACCTTAATAGGTCCACCACACATACAGGGACAGATAACAGCTGTGATACTAACTTTGACAAGGGAATTATCTATCAATGACAACATTATTAACTATCTTTACCCACAGATCCATATGCTCAAATCTTAAAACAGCATCAGGGATGTGACCTGATGGATGTGTGTTTGGAGATTGGGATATGACCATGTTTGTCATGAGTTTCTGAGCTGCACCTGACAAATTGGTGTTGGAGTCAGGTGACTCCAACATCAACTCCAAGCCCATTTCCACGAACTCAGCTAGTTAGTCTGATAGGCAGCTGGGTTGTACTAACAGAATCCCCTCTAGAGAAGAAAACTATGTGTTTTGGAAAGGACTGCAGATGCTAAACTGATAGTACATAATTGCCACTTTTAATGTAAAATGAATTTTATTGAATGATGGGCAAATTTATGATGTTAGAATGTGGCTGACTGACAAATATTTGGTTTACAGAAAACATTGGTACAAGGCTACTAAACATAATTCATCCTATGGATTTCTTGATGTGCACTTAATATTAACAAAGGAAGTCTAGTGCAAACTTTCTACACAAGGGGGCAACCTTGTCTTGTCTTGTATGTGACCTGTTGCAAGAATAAGTTTGAAAGGAACTACTTCAATGAGCTTTGTGATGTATTTAGTATTGTGGTGAATCTTTCCTCTTGAAAGTAAGAACAATATTTGTTTTCTATTTATACCCTGTTTCCAATGTATTCCAGAATATTCTATTCAAATCTAATCTCTGAAAGCAAATCAAGCAAGTCAACTTTTCTCTGATTGTATACCCCAAATTCTGTCATCTGTGCTCAGTAAACGGAAGTCTCAGTAAATGTGTCTTTATGTTGGGATTTGGAGATAGTGAAAGTAACAATTTATTTATTAACTTGTCATTTATTTACTTGTCATGATATTAGAACCTGAGGCTAGACACCAATGCTGAAAAATTCTAGCCGGATAAAGTACATCTTTGCATAGTTGGGATGGGAATCATGTCTCTCTGCAGATATTTAATTCCATCTCCCAGCATCCCTAACTGGTAAAACTAGATATATTGTTATCTATAGTTCAGCAACAACTTGGGGGCTGCATAATTTCCAACTATGGAAAATTTCACACTCAGAAAATAAACACCATGATATAATAGTCATTATCTGGTATAGTCTTACAAGGGGATCAAACAAATTTGTGGAAGCCAAAGGCTATGAATGACTACTACTCAAGAAACTCACTGAGTAACCTTGTGCCAAATGTGTTAGAAAAATGTACCTGAGAGGTTTCCTGTGATTATAAAAGTTGTCCAGAGCCATGCATGCCATGTTGACTTCACTGGAAGAAAAGCAGTATATAAATATAAATTTTATGTTGAGGCAGTGTACCTTTACAGGCAGTATGGTGTAGTGGTCTGTGTATTGGATTAGAATTCTAGGAGCCAAGGGTTAAATCCCCACTCCCAGTGGCTGACCTTTGGGCAAGTCGTACTTTCTCAGCCATAAAGGAATACAATGACAAACACGAAATACACTTTTTAGGAAACCCTTGAAGGGGTTGGAGTCAACTTGAAGGCACATGACAACAAATGACTATCAGTTACTAGGAACATCAGTGAGGTATGCTGCTGCAACTATACCCTTATGGGCTTTGCTTGGCCACTGTGAAACAGGAGGCTGGACTACTGCAGCAGGACTCCCTTTGTGATACCTGGGAGAGCCTCCTGCTAATTCATTTTTTCCCTCCAAATTCCAGTGCAATGAGAAAGCACTCTGCAGTTGTTTTTAATTCTATGACACCTCACAGTAGTAAATTGTAGTTACTGAAGTTTCTGCCTTAAGGTAGAATCAGATTCATTCTACTGAGGAAGGAAAGGCAGTAGAGATGACGTAACTAGCTTTGTTTTCCTTTCTCATTTAGCATTTACCACACCTGATATTCCCTTGTCCCTATTACTGGAATGTTGTAGCAGTGTCAGTTACAAGAGCATGATTCAAATTGAACATAATTGATATGGCTAGGTCTTCACTACTGAAGATTAATTTCAAGAGATATTCTGTAAACCCCTGTGGAAAATCTCTGGTTGGAGGGAATGTCCTTTACTCTGTAGTAATATATGATGATACAAAAGAGGCTAAGAGACTCTAGCACCTATGAAAAATTATCAGACTGACCCTTGGTATGGCTCTGTATATTAACATCATACAGATAACTACAAAAAAGGAATTCCTACTCTAAAGCATACTCATCAATCCTTTAATTATTGTATTTGTGTCCCAAAATAATTGATTATCTGTGATGTACAGAATTCATATAAGCCTCTAATAATTTTTGTTATTATTGGAATGTCACTCATTTTCAAGAGTTGTTTTCAAGATCTTTGATTTGGGCAAATCATAGACCGAAAATATCACCTTTTTTAAAAAATAGTTCTCAATTTACTATTGATCTATGACAAAATGTTTTGAGAATATAATTCTCTTGTGTTTTGGTAACTGTTTGCATAATCATACACACAAAAACAATACACATATTTTACATAACTAAAACCATTCTGTAGTTTTATTGATATTTTGTGGAGTTCACATATTTTTGTACAGCAAACATAACACTGTAGGCCACAAGAAGCTGCAGCACTATTGTTTAATAGCAGCAAGTTATATTTTTATCAGGGTATGTGGACAATAAATAGTCTGTTTCTTTGGATATGAATGCCTAAATTGAATTTTTGCTGCAGCTTCATAATGTGATAGCTATTTTACAGAGCTTATACACAAAAATATATATGCAATCTTTTGTCTATATTTTATACAAATACAACAGTAGTTTGTGAATACATTTTAAAGTACATATACATGATAAGCAACACATTTTCCCATATCACAGGATAGTAATTTTTAATGAAATACACAAATTCGGTCTGGAATGCATTTTTCTATTTTGACTCAAAATCAGTATCATTAAACAGTTTTTTTCCCCACAAGTCCAAACATTTTCCACTATCTAAAAATATAATTTCAGCAACCCACATCATGTTCAGATGTAATTCTTTTAAAATAGTTTTCATTTGCCAAGATCGAATGGGCCCTTTGAGACAAGCATGTTCTTCACTTCACACCATATCAAAAGCCCTCTTTTCATTTTCATCTTCTAGTTTTGAAAATAGGCTTATTTGGGTATAAATTTGCATGTCCAAGATTCTCATTTTGCAAGTGCATATGAAAACATGGTGATATACAAAATTCATTAATAACAAATTAAGTCACAGTATAAAAATATATCATACATCTATAAATCTAATATAGGCCTTTCTCTGTGGATAAAAATACATCAGTCTAAATGAGACAGGTCTGTAGCACCATGAGAGGAGCTGTATCCCAAGTTATATTAGCAGCATGATCCACTATAATATATTTGCAGGAGTGTTTCTGAGAAGATAAAACATTCATTCTGGTTCAACTGTACCACTGAAGCTTATATTGAAAATGTTTGTATGCCATAAGCAATAGTTCTGTGTCAATTTTAGGGTTAAATACTTATAACAACATGGCCTTTTAACACACTACACCCTTATAACTGTTAAGGGATTAGAACCCATTTTTTTCCACATTATTTTAAATTGTCTTCTCTGTAATGTATAACTGGTGATAGTTTTTATTCTATACTGACATGATACAAATAGGCAGCTGAACCTACACAATGTATTTCATAGCAAATAATGTGTAGGTTTTATTACTAAGAGGCATGTCATTTTAAGCCGCTAAACCAGTGTATGAGACAAATAAGAGCTTAATCCTTCTCTTTATACAGGCACAGGATCAACCCTATGCTATGACAGGACATAGTATTTTCAGAATACTGCTTTTTGTAGAGATTGCAATTCTATGCATATTTACTTAGAAGGATATTTAATTGCATTAAATGGGTCTTCCAAATAAACATACGTAACACTGAGTTGTAAGGCTGAACTCTAGTGCCTAGTATCACATGTGTAATTCCCAATGAAATGTATGGGACTTAGCATTAGTGTGCACATGAATGCAATCTCTAAGGTATTAGTATACACTTAAATGGTTTTGACCACTCAATATTTGGACTGGTATGAAATGGCAGTAAAAGATGGCATAGACAGAAATATGTAAACCTAGGAATCTACTGTGTAAAAACCCTTTTAAAAAGACACACTGGTTCTGTGCAATATAGCAAATTGACGTTAACACACTTTAAGATGTACCTGTTAAAAGTTACAAAGTTTACCATTTTGTACCCAAAGCATTATATCAAAGGCCCACATATGTCATCTAATGGCACTTGAAAAATTATAATAGATTTTATAATAGAAAGCATAACCTGTAAGAAATTCTCTTTTATAAGGTTTAGGTTTCTTTTTGAAAGTGCTATATCTTGTATTATGTGTAACATAGAAATTGATCGAGCTTTAGTTTAAAAACACACACAACAATTACAACAGCCTACAATACATATAGAGCTCACTAGGCAAAAGATCCTGAAAATATGTACTCTTAACATTCATCATTAGCTTAATAAAGCAATCAGGTCTGGCTCATGTTTTAGTCAGTATATGGTTTTTGAAAACCTCTACTGCCAAATGAATAAATCACTCTATTCCACAATTCACTACTAATAAAACACAAGCAAATTATATATATATAATATATTTAAAATCCATAGTAGAAGTTTAGAAGTTACACAAAGGGTGGTGCATGATCAGCCAGCACACACCACCCTCCACTTTTTAGAATTAATCTGGTAACCTCAAAATAGGCTTTAAAATTGATATTTTGAACTTCTCAACCATTTCTCTGCCTAAATGATAGTCATAAAGCACTAGTGTGTAAATGCATAATGTCATTTTGCTTCCATATACTCATATATCTTACTTCAGTGACATGCCCACAAGGTGTAGCTATCTACTGAAATACTAACTGAATGAGGTTCAATATCTTGTCTGAAATTCTACTACTAATTTGAAGTGCACCTGTCTAATCCCAGTTTAGAATCTGAAGGAACTGCCATAGGATTATGGAGCCATCATGTGTATTAAGGCATACTGGAAAAACTAGTTTTTTAAAAAATCAAGTTAACCAGCAACTAACACTGAAAACAGATAACATTGTTGTAAGACACTTTATACATACCATTCCTGTCAATGTAGTGCTAGGCTTCTATTAGAACCTAAAAGGTTAAAACTAGTTCAACTCATTTTTTAAATGAGTGAAATGCTTATTCAACAGCTGTAAGATGGTGTTTGTTTTGAAAAACTGGGGAAAATGGGAAAGAGAAGGCCAGACCCTAAGTGTTGATTCAGTGATGCGAGGAGGTATTTACTAAAAGAAAACGGGGGAAAAGAAAGAAAGAAAAGCATTTCCTCTGAACAATTAAAGCCTTTCTATCATTTCTTGTAGAAAAGAGTATTCAGAAGAAAAGTTCTACTTGTGATTGGCTATTTGGGTCATAAACTAGATTGCAGTATTGACAATTGTCTGGTATGTTTTTCCCCTTTTAAATGATGGTGCTAAATGGCTGGAAAGCAATATTGAACGAATCATTCCACTAAAGATACATCTCAGCAATCTGTTTCATAGAAACTAAAGGAAGCAATTATGCAGCAGAGCTAAAGTCTACTTTGAGAAATCATTCTCATGGCATATTGGAGCAGCTTGCAGAATTTTGAAAAGGTACTTCCTCATTAATACATCCTTATTTTAATGCCTTTGGAACAAACATTTATAAAAAGTTACCATTCAGTAATAAAATTTAAATACATCAGTATAAAATAGTAAAATCACACCTGCATATTGTTCCTACGATAAAAAAGTAGAAACTAATGACATACATATTGGGAGCCAAAGCTCCTTAATGAGAGCAACTTTTGTTTTTGTGAAGGATATTTAGTTTAACCACTTGAAAACCATGTATTCATCTGTACAAACTGGAAATAGCTATGCATTTAAAATTCCTCCTAAAAATGATAAGGAATAGAATGTCACTAAACTAGATTTTGCATTTGTATCACAGTTTTCCCTCTTTTGTTACCAGAATAGAAAATATAAGAGGATGTTTTGAAAATAAACAGCACTTGGACATAACAGCACAAATAGCTATTTTCTTGTTATTTTTCCTAAATAACCTTGTATATCAGGTAAAAGTGGCATAAGCAATATGCTTTTACTTCACTCCTAGGAGTCCTGTTATTAATTCTTGGCATTGAGAAAAATCACTAGCCAAATACCCAGGTGCAGTAACTATTATTACCACTAAGTTGATGCTTAGGGTGACATTACACACCATGAAATACAATTCAAGAGATCCACTCCAATGAAAATATGAAAATTGTATTTGCAAATTTACATTCTTTTTTGTTGCAAATTCATCAAATTGACAATATGTAAAATTTTCTAGCTGGACTTAATTTCACCTGTTTAGTGAAAGTGTTAAAAGATATACATGTTACATAAAAAAAAACCTGAAAAAATATTTCTGTTTCAGTGCCAGACCTTCACTTTGTACTTGCCGATTAAGAATGTTTTCTTGCCAAATTATACTGCTTCATAATTGCACTTAAATGAGAAGTTATTCTCCTCTAATCATATGAAATTATTTAAGGGAAAATAGCAAGTCCTGGTCTTCTAAGAAGTTTTGATGAAAAAAAGCTGTGCTTTTTCAGACAGGAATGACAAATTTACTTACATATAAAATGTTATGAGCAAAGTAAAAGTTGTTTTCCTTTATACTATTGTTTAGGAACTTGCCTGCATTAACATTGTTTTGTTGTTATCCTTTAAAAAAACATAGTCACTATTCCATTGACAAATAAAATTACTGGATCTTTGTGAAACTATGATAAGACAAACAAAATGTCTTGGGAATGGTTTTCTCACTATTTTTAAAATGTGGATCTACTGGCAGTGAGAATACAGAGACTGTTTTAAATCCCAAAGTAAACAACTGTGAATGTACACATTCAAAATATTTGAAGAATTAATTTGAATTTCATACTGGCTTAATGAGATTGGTACTGTACAAAAGTAGATTTACAAATGATATAGTAGGCACTACATAAAAATTGTCTAAGGCATTTCTAAAAATAAACTTGTCACAAGGCATTTTTTTCATCTTATTGGAAAGCTTGATGAAAACGTGGTAGGGTTGTGGTTGTGTTTAGACTACTTGTGAAAGCTGCTGACAATGAATGCAAAGAACCAAGGCCGATACCATTACCAGGGTCTTGTAGATCGTGTGCCTGTGGAGGAAGGTGAGTCATAGATGAATGTGCTTCCTCTTGAGTGTAACTCATTCCAAGATTTCCCACAGAAACAGAAGGATTAAATGGGGGTCCATTTACTGGTATAAAATTGAATAATTGGGAGAAGTCCAGTGATGGTGTGCTTAAAGATTCAGTAATAGAAACAGCACTTTTGGAAAGAGATACATCATCTAGCGGGCCTATTTGAGGATCCAGCCCTAATTTAGATGAAGATGCTTGAGAATCTCGGGATGAAGAAGGCATGCCACTTTGCAGTTCCATTAAGTAACTTTCAATTTCCCCTTTCAATGGCTGCTCTTTATCAGTCATGGAAACTGTATATGAGGTAGAACTGAGTGGATATTTTAGAGATAGCTGGTGAGAAGCATGGACAGATTCCATTTCTATTGGACAAGGCATACCTAAAGGTAATGATGTGGCAACCATTTGGTGTGCAGATGCTGAGCTCTGCATGGACTGAATCTGCGTATTGTAGAGATTTAATTGCAAAGTGTTTGTAAATGGCTTTGATGTCAGTTCACTGGAAGATAAAGACATTGCTGGAAGTAGCTCATCCTTTATAGGCACAGCAACATTGCAAGTAAAGGGGTCTAGAAGGTCCATTGGCTCTGTTTTGACTTTCAGAAGTTCTTGGTTGTGGCTTTTCTTCATATGCCGTGTTAGGTGATCCTTCCGGCCAAATCTCTGTGCGCAGTACTGACAGAGGAAGTCCTTTCTTCCAGTGTGCACGACCATGTGTCTTCGGACATCCTTTCGGGTGTAAAACCGACGATCACAATGTTCACACTGGTGCTTTTTCTCCTTCACTCCACCTGATGATTTGCCTGCATGAGTTTTTAGGTGCTCCAGCAACACCCCTGTGCTTTCAAATGTCTGCAAACATACTTTACAGGTGAGGTCACCACTTGTTGCAGCATGCAAAGCCAGGTGACGCTTAAACCCAAGCTTCGTGTTGTAGTTCTTTCCACATTCTTCACACTTAAAGGCTTCTTTATTAGGATTATGTGTATGTAGGTGATTCTTTAGATGATCTTTTCGATGAAACATTTTCTCACAATAATTACACTTGTGGGTTTTCTCAGGAGAATGAGTAGCCATGTGCCTTTAAATACAGATATATTCTGTAAGTATTTATTCTGATTAAAAAGTATTTGTGTTCATTTTAACAGTAGCTAAATACTAAGCTATTTTCTTCATAGGACTATATTATATAGGAAACAATTAAAAACAATATCTATATCTTATTTCAATATAGCAATTCACACCTTACAAGCCATTTCATTTCAACTGACATTTTAGTTTGATGATTTTAAAGTTATTTTAATAATGTATTTTATTATATGTCAATACTTCAATGCTTTCCATAACCAAAATGGAAAATCATCCATACACTTCATCAAAACAGAGTTATACAATGAAAAACTGTAAAAATTTCCTCTTCCAAAACACACAAAAAACTTCAGATATTAGTTAATAAAACTAAGCACTGCTTATAATTCTATAATCTCACATCTATATTAACATTTCCTCCCTGAAAATCACCTCAACTGTACACATATATACATATATATGTTTAAAAAGCTTTAAACGGCCAACAAATAATATAATCTGAAAAATAAATAGAGTTTAATACCTTAGTAATTTGTATTTAGAAACAAAGGCCTTGGTGCAGTCTTGTTGTGTGCACTTGTAGGGCCTCTCTCCTGTGTGAGAGTATGAGTGAACCTTTAATTTCTCAACACTGTTAAAGGCCTTGTCACACAGTTGGCAAGGAAAGTTTTTTCTTGGTTTGGATTCACCACGCTTACGTTTCCCTGAAGGGACTTTCTGGGTATCTCTTACTTCTGACAAATCACCAGGAATGACAGTGGCCATCGCAGCCTAAACCAGGCCTTCTTGTTGGACACTTGGGAATTGCCCAACTCCACTAAATGATTTAGCTTTAGATGGCTTCTCAAGTTTCATGTGGTCGTTAAAGAAAGCAAAAGGGGACTGGAAAAAAAAATAAGAAACAACTATTTGTAACTAAACTCAATTTTGTAGTTTACTTGCTATGTGATGCTTTTGAATAAAGCTTATATAAAATTAGGTTCAGCTGGTCTAATGTAATACATGTAGACTAATTTCAGCTATTTATCACAGCTCAATGTTCACTGCTCAGAATGGACAGATCCACATGTACCCTGACACTTCACCTTGCATTTTTTTAAAAAAAACAAACCAATTATACAAATAGTAGAACAGTGTTATAAAACTGTATTCAAGCATCTAAAAACTTATTTGGCTGTGCATGCTCGTTTAAAGAAAGTTGTTTCAGTAATTTTAAAGTATGTTAATATGTATATTAAATAAAAATGATATGGCTAAAAGTGCATGCTTTCTACTAAATAAAAGCTGCACAATTCAAAAGGGCTATAGCCCAAAGCTTAAAAAAAGTTGACTCACATATTACCCAAGGGATGTTCTGGGACACTCTGCAGAATAAGATTTTCATGTAAAATCTTGAAACCTTTTTCCAGGGAGAGATTTTGCGGTTTGGGTCTTTCCCCCTGGCCAACATGCTCCTAAATGCTGAAAATTCTGCACTCTCCCCAACTCTCCTGTTTCTCTAAAGAGGGGAGACTAGATAAAGGAAAGACTCACAAGCTGGGGTGCAGGTTGCCCACTCTGAGCTCCCAAAAGTAGCCTCCTCCTCAGGTGCCAATCTGGCGGGAAGCCCAGTGTTGCCAGGTTTTCCACCAAATTCGGCACCTGGTCCCCTGCCTTCCTCACCTTCATCCTTGGAGTGGGTCTTCACATATAATTGAACCCATGTACTATGAGTAATATGTGGAGCTACTGTTCAGTCATTAAAATTAATGGGTCATTCTACAGTACTCTGTGAACTGGAGCGCTACAGAAGTCAAGGGAAAATGCTACTAGCCTAACCAGGCATCTTCTCTGATATGTTTGCACAGGGAACTTTAAAATAGAATGATGTAGTCCTCATTGGGCTGTAGCATGCACATTTTCAGAATATGTTGATGGGTCTAATATTAATTACATAAACTAGCATTCAGCGACCAAGCTTAGTTTGCTTAGCCTGTTTAGAATTCTTGTGCACAATATGATGGGGCACAAACCTATCCGTTCTTTCAACCAAATTACGTAATCAATGTTTTAGAAACCTGTGAGCGTGTCCTTTTTTTACCTGCCACTATAGTATTTTATAGTATTTTAAGTATAAAATTCAAGATGGGAATATCACAAATATCAAGGCCAAAGAAACTATTTAGGAAACAGACTCAAAGCTCAGTATGTAATAGACAGATGCAGTTTGTGAGAAAAGACAAGCATAAGCAAAGAAAGTGCCATAGCAGGATTTATCCTGCCCTCCCTGAAGTGAATGGTTGCTGCATACATCCTCATAAACACCTACTATCAATCCAAGTAACTAACCATTTTGAGGGCAGAGTGCTTCAGATTTTTCAGATTTTAGAAGGCAAAAATAGATTCTAATACAATCAAATCTATAATCTGAAGAAAAAAACATGTAAAAGCTCTAGTTATGATATAGAGATTATTTCCCCATTTTTTCCTTCAAGGCTCAAATAAGATTGTTTTGCATTTGGTGTTATAATCTTATTTTTCTCCCCTAAATGAGCTATATAGGTAATTAACAGTAGAGGGCAATTATATGTGTTCACATTTTTCTCTTGGGTTAGTTATATTTATTATGCACTTTGATATGCATACTAACTAGTATTAATTGCTTTTGGATGAAATTTAGTAAGGACCTCTGTCTCTAGATAACTTCTGTCAGTAGAATATGGAGATACCAACTACTTGCCTCCCCAACATATTTCATATTCTAGAGACATTTTGGACCCTCTAGGGTACTGGTTCACCTGTGGGTCCCCGGATGTTTTGGCCTTCAACTCCCAGAAATTCTAACAGCTGGTAAAACTGCCTGGGATTTCTGGGAGTTGTAGGCCAAAACACCTGGGGACCCAGAGGTTGAGAACCACTGCTCTAGAGAAAGCTGGAAGACTTTGGAGCTGCATGGTGATGGAAGGTTTTTCATGGGTATTATAGTATATTATATCACAAATATTTGGCAAGCATCAGTTTGACCCCAATTTGTACAGCTCATTTTTCATATCAAAAACATGATTCATCCTGAAAGCCTAGTCCTAAATCAAATTGTTAGTCCAAACTATAAGTATATCTACTGAATCAATGAAATGTACATAATGTACATAAACTTTGACTTAACTAATTTCTACTGAATCCATGCATCTGCTCTTAACATGGGTTTAAACCCTGATTTGAATCCTCCAAACAAATAATAACTGTGTTATTTGTTGTGTCATAAATGGAAATGGTTTTCACTAAACTATGGTACAGTAAATCAAAGGTATTACATCTATTACTACTTCTCTCAATTAACAATAAAAGCAAATAATCACAAGTCAAACATAAATGAAAATGGAACAGATTGGTAGCATTTCCTTATGGCTACCAATAAGGCCTATTTAGGAAGAAAAAAGAAAGGATGCAAAACTAAGCTGAGGAGCAAAAACACGTATAGACAAATTTCTATTGTGGGCCACTATAAGAAAATACAATGCAAAACCTGTGAGTTAGTGCAGAAAGAATAATTAATGCAAAAGGTATTTACAGAAATGTATAAATGGGTCAGGAAAGAAAGGACAATTAGACACCTTACAGTGCTTAGTGCTTCTTTAGTTAATATCATCTTCAAGCATTGTAAAAGAAGGTGTAGATATGAAGGTATGTATTTATGGAAGTTTGATTTTGACACAATAGTTGATAAACTTGGCCAAAATATTTTTCAAAACCCATTTCTTAATACTCACAGTCATAATATTTGGGGGGGGGGGAGGTTGCTGGTAAGTTTTTAGAATAGGCTGGGTAACTGCTCTATGTTCTAACAGCTTTAGTAAGCCCAGTTAAATCTAAAAGATGCTTGCAGTTGCAGTCTTAACTACTTCTAAGATTCTATTTTCCTGTTATGTAGTTGAACTTGGTAGTTTGAAGAATTTATCATGTTTGTTTGTTGCAGAAATATTTTTAGCTTTTCTGTGCTATAATTGGAAAATGTGATGGGAAAGATCTTCAGAATTTCAGATAAAAGTCTTAGAACACAGGTCAGAAAACATTGTTGAGGGAGATGGAGAAGGGCATCACGCTTCAGTATTCCTTTTTTTTAAAATCGCCATATTCTAATGCATAAGCCTATTGTGATTGCACCTAGTCAGATCTTCCAGTGATCAGAGAAGCATTTTTGTTTAAAAGATATGAAAGCCAAGGATCAAATTTTCAATAATTTTACCACTGTATTAAATATAGTTCAAAAATGTACAGAAAAAAACGTTGTAAAGGAATATTAAACAACTATCTACTGAATTCATTATAATGGCATATGTAAAGTAATTATAGATTTGTCCTTTCTTAGTTAAAGTTTCTGTGAGCAGTATCCAAAGGAATGATAAGAGACACTGTTCTCTCCAGATTGGATGCTGCTGCAGAAAATGCCCTGACCTTTTAGAGCCAATTTTTATTTTTTGTTGTTGAGGGAGGCAGTGGAAGATATACATAAAGAGCTGCATCAGAAAAGCAGGATTAGAAAAGTCTTGGCATGCATGCAGAATACTGCATAAGTCCTTTAGAGCCCAACCATTTAAATCTTTGTTCTATTATTCTTAGGCTGCTTTTTAGGTAGCTAAACCATTTCCTAGTTTGTAATTCTAGGTATCAAGTATATCTAATTGAAGTGTGGATGTACAGGCTGAGCAATGCAAGCAATATTTTAACATTGATGCTCAAATATTACACTTCTCAAAGACCAGCTGAAAAAACTGAGTAAGAATGCCCATTTTCAGCTTTAGTATATTATTATTATTACTATTATTATTCATGTTGGTTCTTTCACAACTGTAGGATGAACAATACATCAGAAAAAAATATTTAAAGCTATATTATAAAAACAATATTTTATATATATTTATACCATTTTAAAAGGTGTTCATACTCAAAACAGATTTATGGTAGCCTCTGTTCAGTGCACACCTGGTGATGGATAACGAAGAAAAACCTTCTGATTTTGGTCTTAACCAGTTCCACTGACATGTGTTGGAGCAAACCAGAATCCAGTGCTTCCCATTTTTGCTGATCTGAAAAACAAAGGAGAAGGGACTAGACATTAGAAAGTTAACTTCAGAAGGGTAGATGCCAAATGGAAAGAGAAACACAGCATGCTCAAACTTGTTATGGTATAACTGTAGTCAACACAAATAATGGATCAGAATATATGTTTTCAAGAGCAAGATGCATTGATTCTATACAAAATGTCATAAATGTAGCAAGCCAAAAGAAGAAAGCAAATGTGCTCTTCTCTTGCTCTTGGTTCAGTCTTGACCAACAGTACACTTTTCATCTGCATACATCCATATATCTAGTCTTCAACAGACTGATTTCATTCAAAATAGTTCTGCATATAAGACTAAGTTATACAGTCTGCCCAGAAAACTACTTAGTGAGTTGGTGACATTAGTTGAGAGACAAGAAGAATGAAATGAGTAATTGCCTTTCATTAATTTTCCATTGTATTTCTTCTTGTCTCTTTTCTTTGCTTTCCTCTACTCATGGATGTACCCTGGCCCTATAGAACTAGGACAGAAGTCTATGCATAGGAGCTTGTAATTTAACTTTCAATTACTTGATACAGCTAAGCAAAATATTTACTATAAAACATTTACGATATGCAATATCTATATTATAAGCCAACCTTGAGGATGAAATTCAAACATATCTGAGATGTGTGTTGGGTTGGTGCTGAATCAAAAACCAGCAAACAAGGAAAGCTAATTCCCTTATCTCCTTGCATATCAAATCTGTGAAAGGGGTGGAGATTTTCAGTTTTTTAAAGGACAATGGACAGCCATGTTGATTCGTGTATAACAAGGCTAGGTTCCTAATTCATGAATCTGAATTGCAACAATAACTTGAGCACATCTAGATTGTGACCAATCCAGATATTAATTATGGCATGATTCAAAATATTTTAAGACATGAAACACAGTTTTCATACCAAGCTACAACAGGGAGAATGATATTGCCACGCAAACATTGTTTCAGGTGTATCAGAAAACCATTTACAAGATTCAAAGTATTTTGTAAAGTTTAACTGTCTTAATTAGCACTCCAGATGCTCTTTTCCTCATGGTTAAAAATTAGTCTGCGCAGCACAATAAATGAACCCAATGCCTACGAATATTCTTCAACAGTGCAATGATTTCATAATACACAGTGAAAGCCTTAGCCTTCATAATAGCATGCTGAGCTAGATTATTGTTTTCTACATATTCAACAGACATGAAAATAAGAGTAATTGAACTTTTATGGCTAGAATCCAATTGTAGACTTTTGTTGGCAAAATAGGAATTTTCATCAGAATTGTGATGGATAGTTTCCTCCTTATTCAGCCATACTCCTCTGCACTGAACTGCCTGGACAGTAGAAAACCCTACATTGGTATATTTTCCAACAGAAGAGAAGTCTGAAGAATATTGACAAGAAAGGACCAGAGAGGAAAAATGTGAGGAAGATCAAAATGACAATGCAGCATACTAACTATATTTTATCACAAGAAGCCCTTTAAAAATAAGACAGTCTTAACAGATAAACAAAGAACAGATATTTCTTTGAAAACTATTGAATCCAGACTAATACTAGAAGATTTAACAAGTGCTGACAGTAGGAGAGCTATGAAAACTTCTTCCCAAACTAAGTATTTGGTTAAGATATCAACATATAATTTCAGTGCAATCCTGCACATCTTTGCCTATTAATAGAGATTAATAGAGATACAATAACAGCAGCAGCAACAACACCCGGGGGGGGGGGGGTCAAGTTTCCCTAGGAAGAGAATTCCAGAGAATGGGAACCACAACTGAACAGATCATATATTTGAGCTATCTCTCAAATATATCAGACCCCAGAAGACCTTTAAATGGACTAATAATTCTTCAGACTGTATGACCATATCGTCCATAATCAGCAGTGAAATATTTCAAATTAGCTTTGAGATTTTAGAGTCAGAGTCACTCAAAATCAGCGTAGTGGATGGTGGCAGTTAACGGCCCATTGTTGGAATATGACCATAGGAAAGAAAATTTAAAAATCAGTTATTCCCACATAGTGCATTATCACCACTCTATTTGTATCTAGGTATGTGCAATGAAAAGAGCATAGTGATTATCACTTTCCCTATGAAAGTAGGTGTAGATATTTAAGTGTAAAAAGAGGATATGAAGCATGATAGCTTCTGGTGTGAGAGAATTGGCCGTCTGCAAGGACACTGCCCAGGGGACGCCCGGATGATTTGATGTTTTTATCCTTGTGGGAGTCTTCTCTCATGTCCCCACATGAGGAGCTGGAGCTGATAGAGGGAGCTCATCCGCCTCTCCCCGGATTCGAACCTGTAACCTGTCGGTCTTCAGTCCTGCCGGCACAGGGGTTTAACCCACTGCGCCACCGGGTACTCCGTAATATATTGAATAATTACTAATGAGAAAAAAAAGGTAGCTACTAGATATAGCGGGCAAAATGCGCTCCTGTTATTTTAGAACTTCTTAACCTGCTTTTATGACTTTATAGCATTCAGAGAATAGCAAGCATATTTGGAAAACATCCAGAACACTGTAAAACTATAAAAACCACTTATGCAGAAACACTATTTATTAGTAAAGATGTGCAAAGACTATCAGATCCTGTTTGAACTACATTTGGGAAGCAATCCGTTCTATTTTGAGAGCCAGAGCTTCATGCCATATATTAATGGAAATCAATACATGGCTATAAGATTTTTGTCATTATTTTGCACATAAAATAGCCCTAGGTGAGTATTACAACCAATACATTTTAGATAAATATAAAGTATCCAAATATATAAATGCATGGATATTTATGGTATGTCTTTAAGTTCAGATCGGCATGTGTATTATTAAAAATGAGAAAATTTTCAGGACTGGCATAGTTAAGACAACTGCAGAATTTCCTGACAAAACTATTTTTGCACAAGTGCTCACATTTTAGCGTTTATTGATTTTCATCCTCTTAGTCCTCATTTGTTTAAGGAAATATTTATAAAAATATGAGACATGTCTTAAAAGATATCCCTACACAAGAAACTTGCGAAATTTTTGAAAAATGGATGGAGGACCTAGGAAATTAGGATGAAATAATAGTGTCATTTAAAAATAATTCTTTTTCAATCAGCATCAAAGAAGAGGAAAGGATGATAGCTATACAGAGCATACACAGGTAAAGGTAGAAAGACTTTAAACAACACTATTTTTACAGCAAATACTCAGGACTACACTGCCATGGTCCAAGATTTACAACTCAAGTTCCTGTTCTCATAGGAAAGAGACCTAGAAAAAAAAAAACCCCCACTCAAATCTGAATAATAGCCCAGTATACCATGTCAAAATTGCTTCCCAGAGGTTCTGGGACTGATGTAACCTGGCAAAATGATTCATTACATCTAGAAATTAGGAGCGGAAAACAACAAAATATTTATCTTTTCACTAAACCAGCCTCTTCATTTCTGTTGTATATAATCTGTGGCCAACTGAATAGACTTTGCATGCACACTCAAAAGTAAGTTTCAAAGTTCCTCTATTTCTATCTCACAGAATGAATGACAAATGATTTTACATTAATATTTTTAACAAATAACAAACCATATTTGTCATTAGATTATGTCACTCTTGCTTAACTGTCCAGTTTTTTTTTTTTTTTGTCATGTCAGAAGCCACTCAAGAAACTGCAAATCACTTCTGGTGTGAGAGAATTGGCCATCTGCAGAGACATTGCTCAGGGATGCCTGGATGTGTTACCATCAAGTGGGAGGCTTCTCTCATGTTCCTGTATGGGAAGCTGGATCTGACAAATGGAAGCTCACACCATCTCGCAGATTCGAACCACTGACCTTCAGGTCAGCAGTTCAGTCGGCACAAGGGTTTAACCCATTGTGCCACCGTGACTCCTGTCCAGTGCCAACCATCATAATTACATATAAAACTTATTAAAAATAGAGAACATTAATTAATACATTTATTAAACAACAGATATAAAACTAGTACTATACTATTTATTGGATAGAATATGATGTTAAATCCCAAAGTCTGAAATGATGTAGGTATTTTAAAGATTTCTTTTGGCCTACCAACCATATGATCCCCATATGAGTGGTTTCGTGTAACCATGTCTGATAAAATAAGTACTCTCTGGGTATTTTCTGGATCCTACAGCATGACCCTATGGTGTTCTTGGGCCAGAGGTCCTTCGTTTCAATAGAGTTCACTATGATCCATGGTTTTCATGTATCCATGTGAAGTCCAGGAATATATCCCCTGTGGAAACAGGGATGTACTGTACCATCAGAACAATCAGAGTGATGCTTTATTTGATGTGGCTTTTGATGGTCTTGTATATCCAAGAAAAGATGTGCTGGCCTGTAATTTTATAAAAGCCATATAAAAAGAACATCTATGGGCTAAAGAGACCAGATAATGTTTGATGTGCCATTTAATACCATCTGCCTTGCTACTGCCACTCTGAAAGTGATGGCTACAGTGTTTTTAAGTATCACTGTGAACACAGTTAAAATCACAAGTGCTGGAACAGCACATTAAATGGACAGAAGTTTGAAAAAGACACCATTCATTATTCTCATTAGCTGTGGAACAAGAAACACATGCCTCTTCCTAACTGACAATTTAAATTATGAAGAAAAGGTTCAATCTGAAGGTGTGTTGATGTTAAATTTCACTGATACAAAAAACTGAGTAGGCAGGGTATCTTCCATGCAACTGATAACTTTGTCCTAGGAATTCAAGTATGACTGAAGACATTTACAATACAGTAGATTTTCAGTTAACCAGAGCTCAAGCAACCAGAACTCCTAACTGGCAAAAAAATCAAAGAAATAATACTTTAAATAAAATCACTTTTTAGAAGTTTTAGAAGTTTAATTATTGTTTTTCAATATTAACATCAAGTCAATAAGGAGTTTATCTAGCATCTACCAATCCCTATGGATGCTAGTTATCTGAGTATCTACTGTACTCATTTTTGAGCATTTTATCTATTTGGAGTTTTTATTAAA